ACCCATACTCAGCCAAGCTCAACACGGCAATAGCAAGAAATGCCAGAGCATCAAGGATTTCAACTACAAAGGTGGAATACTGTTGGTAATGGAAGTGGGGAGCAAAGGACAGGGCATGGGAAGAGAGGTTCAGGAGAGGGAGAAGCGAGGATTCGGAAGAATCTGAAAGCTCATCAAGAGGATGCTCTGGTGGATGAAGGAGGCTCCAGATAACTTCCTCCTCCCATCAAGAGTGGCGTGGGCTTCTCTCCCCCTGAGTCTTGGCTGGCCCTCTGATCAACTGGCCTTGATAAAGAACGCGTGCAAAGTGACACTGTAATTCCTGCAACGGAGTCTTACAAGAGCTGAAGCTTCTGTTTTTGGCCCTGATAGGACACTCTTTGGAAACCAGCTGCCATGTAAGATCACCCCGAGAACATTGTGCTGTAAGGCAGCTCAAGTTACGCACATGGAAGAAAGGTGAAGGGGAGGATCACTGAGGTAAAGCTTTCTTGGACCTTCTAGCCCAGCACAAGACTAGGTGAATGCAGCCAACGGGTACCATGTAAAACAGAACAACCACCTCACTTAGCCCCATATGACCTTCAGAATCATGAGCAAATAAAATAGCCTTGTTTTAAGTCCCTGCTGTTTCGAGAATTTGGAGGTAGGTAGTGTGCTGGTTAAGGCCATGTGCTAATTTGGGGGTGGAGCTGTGACTCTTCATTGGCTTGGCAGGTATGGGGTAGCCTTCCTCCTTGATGAGCACTAGCACAATGTAATCATCTCCACAGTGAGAAGGGCTGTGAGTGGCCAATCAACGAAAGGGCGTGTCCTCAGGGGCATAGCCTGCTTCCAGTATCTGTGAGGCTCTAGCCAAGCTAGCTTGCTTTCTTGCTGGGTCTGGATCTTGTATCTGGTTCATCATCTTGCCCTCTGGTTTCTTTGGACTTGGGTCAGAGGCCTGCCCTATTGCCTGCCGCTCATGGGACTCATTACCAGCCTGCCGTCTTACCTTAGATTTATTTGTCTCTGCAGCTAACAATCTGCTGTCTGACCTGTTGATCTTGGGTTTAATCAGTCCCTGCAGCTATATAAGACAGGAGAAACTTCCAACCTGGCATCTGACCCGTGGACTTGCCAGCTTCTCCAACTGCATGAACCATTTCCTTGAGCGATAGCTCTCCACATAAATGTATAATCTTTACTGGTGTGGCTTCCCTAGAGAACCCAACCTGAGACAGGGAGCAACAGATAACCAAGACAGCTGCTGAGACCCAAACAAAAGCAAAGCGCTCCAGTGGAAGAATGAGACACACACACACACACACACACACACACACACACACACACACAGAACTTGCTCAGAGCTGAGGTGACTAGTCACTGGGCCAGGGCAAAGAGAAAGGTGACAGTGACTGTCTTAGGAATGAGATGGATGGACATCTCTCTGAAGGGCTAACATCTTTGCAGAGGCAGGAGACTGGACCACCAGATGGGCTCTTTTCTGGTTACACAGGGTCTCTTGCTAGTGTCATCACACATCCTGGCAACTCCCTAGGCTATCACAATTCTTTCTAGTTGGATGCAGGGCAAAATGGATGTTGACCTCTTTGGCAACTTCAGCTTAATTCTGCAAGTAGATGACACCCCTGCTGAACCTGTGCTGGCTCTGTGAGTCGCCAGGCCTGCACAAGGTGTCATGACATAGTCACAAAGTGACCCAGTCTACTCTTCCGTCAAAGACTTGGCCTGGACTTGACAATGAGTCTTGGGAGTGGGGGTGGGGTGGGGGTGGTTGCATGACGATGGGAAGGCTTCTCTTTCCACACTCTATGTCTTGGGGCAATCATCACCACAACCATTAGTACCATTTATTGTACCCTCCTGATGAGCAATTTGCATTCACTGACCCATTTAATCATCCCAAAATTCCTGCCGAGATCCTAATATCCCATGATCCTCATTTTTAGAGTAAAAAATTGGAGCTCAAAGCACTTAAGTAATTTTCCTGAGATCATGCTGCTGGTCAGAGGCAGAGCTGGGATTTGATGCCAGGTCTGTCTGCTTCCCCACAGCATCCTGAGGCTTCTGTCTCGACATACACCCTAATGACTGAGAAGACGTAACTCCCACTGTTGCTGATCAGTGGGGTGCTTGGATTAACCAATTTCTCTTCTCAATGCAAGGTATCTAGTTAGGGTCCTTTGCACATACAAGTGGTATTTTGTTTTCCTTTATTTATTCTGAAGACTAAAGTCAAAATAACTCATTGTAGCCGGCGAAACTGTTGGGTGTAGGTAGGCACAAGCAAGATCTCAGCAATGAGACGCTGTCTGGTCTGTCTTCTCTCCATATGCCCATCTATGTTCCTGCACCTGCTCCCAATCCAGTATGTTCCAGTACTAACCCTCAGCCTGAGGGTTCTGTAACGAGTTAGCAGATGGGGGACAAGTCACTCTGATCTTTCAATTGCTTTGATAGCAGGTTCCTAAAGACACGAACTGGGGCCACCTGCTCATCTTTCAGGTCACAGTTTAAAGGCTATTTCTTCCAGGACGTCTTCACTGACCCCAAGATAAGGCTACATTCTTCCATAGTTCCTTGAGTTCTTCCAGCACCTGGATGCTGTCTCTCTTGGCTTTTGTTATATCATGGGCACCTAGCACAGTGTTGGCCACCAAGTGGACACGTGATAAGGATTTGTTGAATCAATGAAAGGGTTGGGCAGTTCATTGGCCTCTATTGATCTCTGGCCCAAGGCCTAAACAGTGTCACACTGGGACCCAGTAGGAAAGCTCTGCCCTCACTCTCTCTGAGGGGCAGTAGCTGCTGCAGGAGGAGACCAGGCATGCTCAATGCAGGTCTCCACTTTTCTTTCTACAATGACACCCGAGGCTTCTCGCTGAGACGGCGATCTTGTCCCTAGCCTCAGAGGAGAGTGTACTTTGTATCCAAATGATGCACAGCCCTGCTCTTAGGACAGAGCCAGGGATCGCTTTCAAGGCACGGAGACTTACTGATGCCCCTAGTCCTCTCCGGGGGTCATTCACTGCTCTTGATTCCATTTTTATTCATGGAGGACTGGGAGCCCAGGCAGGCTAAGAGAACACACACACACACACACACACACACACACACACACACACACCACACACCAGCCAGACTCAAACGCACACCCCTGCATGTCCGCCACTCTCCGGGCTCCATACAGCACACACTAGTTTCCATGGCTTTCTTTCCAGCCAGCGGGGCGTCCCTGATGGTAGCATCATTTCTGAATTCTATGACTCATGAGTGAATCACAGAACTGTTGAATAGCTGAAAGGGACTTTTGACGTCATCTAGACCTCCCACCCATTGGGGAACTTTCCGCTCCCAAGTCTATCTAGTTCTCCATCACTTGAATGCCTCTCGTGATGGAACATGGGCGTTTTTCTTCTTCTTGAATTTCGAGTTCTGTGGCTGGACCACTTGTAGAGACAGAAAGGAAGTTCTGTATCCTTTGGATACAGGCGTTTCTTCACTGTCCATGTGTTGGCCACCCTCCTGGGCTACACAGAATGAACGTGCCCCCTTTACAAGACAGCCCTTCAGGTATCCACAAGCAGCTTGCATATCCACGTTGAAAATCTTTTTCTCCAAACAGATCACTTCTGCCCAGTGACTTCTCCCGTCCTTGGGTGTCAATCCTAGAACCTTCTCTGCACACCTGCCAAAGGTGTCTCATAGATGTTTTGAGCAATGGCACCCCTACTGGAGAAGGGGGTAACTGCACAAAGGCTTTGCTCACTTGGAGGTTGGAGATGCTGTTTATTTTAAAGAATAGTCACTTCAGAATAACACCTAGGTGCCTTTAGTGTCCATCTGACTGAGGGACACACGAAAGCTCATTCCAATGATGTGATGACACTACAGGTCTGGAATTTCACAGAACTTGAAAGACTGATTGATTTTTTTTTTTAAACAAAAAGCTTTGGAAGGATAGGTATTTAAAAAGTGTATGTTAGTGTTTTTTGGGTATGTTTTCCTGTATGGGAAATCCAAGATAGGTAAATCTATAGAGACAGTAATTGGATCAATGGTTTCTTGGGGGAGGGTTGGGGGAAATGGGGAGCTAATTACAACGAATACAAGACGAAAACGTTCTAACACTGCTGGGGGTGATGATTGCACAACTCTTCTTGATGTGACTGAACGAATGAACTGTGTGATGTGCGACTTATAAGCCCATAAAACTGCTTAAAAGGTAGGCGGTTTTGAATGGTTGTGGCAACTTTTCTTTTTGAAATGGCCTTTGTTTCTAACGGGGCTACGATGCACATCTACAGGACAGTGACGACGGCAACAAGCACAAAATCCACCATACAGGTGCCAGAGAGAATGATGAACACGAAATCAGCCTCCTCTTTTTATGGCTTCCAAGAGTGTGCATTACTTCTGGTGCATCTGGCCTACAACTGGCAGATGCTGCCACCTCCTGGTAATGTCCCCATGGTGACTGTCATTGCCCGTGGTCAGATGACCAGGCTCCCCCCAGGTGTGGCCAACCAGATTCTGGTGGCCTGATTTTACCCTCACAGTCAGGTATCCCCACATCACCGACCCCTCCCTTGGTTCAGGCCACATTCAGAGTCTAGGCATGTGCTTCTTCCTGATCTTACCTCTGGAGTTCCTTAGGTCCCTAATGCACCATGGGTGGGTGGTCATGTCCCCACCAGCCCTGGAGTCCCCAGCTCGTCCTCCTTCTCTCCCTCCCCTGCCAGCACAGCCTTAGCTGCCTGCTTTCCCTTCTACGAGAGTCCAGGGAAACTCCAAGTGTGAACAGGTCAGAACGACATCACGGATTGACAAACCAAATCCCCACGTAAGTGCAGACCTACGGACTAGCTGAGTCACTCCTTTCTGATGAGCTCATCCTAACCAGCTTCACACCGGCCCCAGCCCCAGCCCCAGCGTGGGATCTCTCCCTCCACGTGGACGGCGCTCCAGGGGGGCGGCTGGTCTCTGGGAAGACTCACCCGGCAGCCTCTCACTGCAGCACATGTCCGGGGCCCCTCCCTCGGAGTCATCAGCAGCACGGTTCTCTCTCTCACTCCTGTAGCAGGATGGGAAATAGGAGATGATGCTGTTGAGCTGGAACAAGGCAAACCCTGAGCCGAGATTAAAAAAAAAAAAAAAAAAAAGCTTTTTTCTCCTGCATCCTAGGCCGTTTTGAGTAAGACCACCCCATGAGAGAGACCTGAGGACAAGACCAACCTACGATGACGGGGTCAAGCTGTGGAGAAGGGAAAAGAATCAGGCCGGTGTCTCCCCTGCATGGGCGCATCAGTAGCATTGCCTCAGTACAACCATCAACCACCACCACGACCATCGCCATCACCATCACGGCTCCTAACGTGTGAAGCGCTGCACCAACGTAACCACATTCAATCCTCACCAGGACCCTATGCCCATTCAATCCATAGTCCTCACCAGGACTATGCCCGAGGGATCAGCACACAGTTTCAGTGGGAGATTGAGAGACTTGCTCAAGGTCACACAGTTCACTAGGGTGGCAGTGGGTTGGAAGTGACAGTCCAGGAGTCTGGGATCCTGCTCTCACTCCTGTGCGGTCCTGCCCTGTGGTTTCTGTGGGTTGAGCCCTGGAGGAGAGTGCAGAGGGAGCTGAGGCACACACAGCCCTCTTCCCAGCTCTCCAAGGTCTGCCAGGGCACAGCGCAGCTGGGGCTCCCTGTACAAGCTCCCAAGCAATGGGAAGTGGCATGCAAAATTCCCCAGACATTCCTAGGGTAAGTAGCTATAGGTTTATTTTCCATCCTCCTCCATGTTTTCTTGAAATTCAGAAACTTCTCTTTCTAATCTAGACACCTTACAAGAAGGTTCTAGCATCCATCTTTTCTCCCTTACCAGTAGGCTGAAAAAAAAAAAAGGCTGTTGGAGACCAGCCAGATCCTATGAAGTGTCCTTCATGCAGAGACATCCTGAGAGCAATGACACAGCTCACAGAGCTTCCTTCCCTCCTCTAGGGATGGCTCAAAATCCAGGCATGGACTCCTGTGGCCCATCTGCCCGTCATGTCACTGACGCCTGACTGCTCCAGGGTTGCATATACAAGCTGGGCAGGGCCAAAGCAAACCCTGTCCTCTTGTACATTGAATGCAGACCTACTAGGGGGCCTGGAGCCTGCGGTTGCTAGCACTTAATCATAGTCACTGCAGTGCTTGAGAGAAGGCCTGCCTCCACGGGTCTCAGAGCTCCTTCTATACCACCTGTCCTGAGTCTTGATTGGGCAACATGTCCCTCAAGACCAGGAGAGGCCCTAGGATCCTTCCAATACACCCCGGCACATTAGCTTAGGCCAGCTGGATGCGATTTCTGGTGTTGGCCACCCAAAGAATGTCTATGAAAGCCTCCCTCGCATCCTCCTCCCAAGGAGTCCATGAGGCCAGCTGCCTCCCTCCCTGCTAGGACTTCCCCTCTCAGTGGTCCTCGGGCCTCTCTCAGGCTCAGCTGTGGATTTTAAACAAGGGAGGGTAGGCAGGCCGAGTGAGGGTGACCCCTCTCCCTCTGGACATGTTCAGCTCTCCATTGAAATTGCGTGTTTTAATTTCCCCTCTCTCCGACGGATAGTCTTTGAGAATCTCGACCCTCAGAAATCAGCTCTCCTGCAGTTTGTCTCTTGAGTCCCTCCTCCTTCTCTGTCCGTCATCTCCAACTTCATCCAAGCCGACACCACCCAGCATCTGCTCAGCTTGGCCTCCACTGTACGTATTTCCCACATAGGCCAGTGCATATGGTTACATAGGCGATGCATTTTTTAACCTGCACAACGGGACGTGGCAGCCGTGAGTCAGAGCTGACTCTTTAAACCCAACATTTATCATCTAACCTTCCTTTAAAAACTCCTCCACTGGGATCCGACTGGACCGAGGAGGAGCCCCGGCGGGGTGGTGGTTTCCATCTGGGCTGTTCGGCACAAGGCCTGCAGTGCTAAGCCACAGCCTCTCTGCAGAAGCAAGAGGGCGTTTCTACTCTCCTCAGGGGCAGCTCTTCCTTGTACGGGTAGGGTTCCTATGCGTGAGAACCGACTTGATGGCAGCAAGTTTGGTTGCGTTTTATTGAGCTTAGAAACAAGAGGAAACTTTCAGGTGGCTCACTAGGTTGTGCGCAGTGCCCGGGTAGGCAGAGTTTTCAGTGGGTGATTTCTCAGAAGCAGGTCACCCAGACTTAAACCTCCAGCTCCCTGGTTCTCAGCCAAGCACACTCACCATGGGAGCGCCCAGAGTGGCACCGTCTAGCCCTAATGGATCCACTGGCCTATCTTGTGGGACCTCTGTGTGCCAGCCGCTGGAGACAGACTCTTCACCACAGTGCCTTTGCATAGGCTTTTCTCTCCTCCCACCGGCTCTACCTCCCGTAGTTTTCATCCTAATCACGTGTAGCGGTTGGGCGTTTCTTTTTAACTTGTGCCATTCTGTGATTGACATCTGCTCCACCATGAGGGCACAGACCGGCTTCAGAGCCTGGCTCCGTGCCTGGCTCAACAAATACCTGTTGCCTACGTGAATGCCGTCCTGGCATGCTTGAGAAATCACCAGGCACCTCAAACACAACCCTCTCTTGAGCTGCCCTGGGGACAGGTCTGCAAGTCACGCGGACGCCCCCTCTACAGTGATGGCATGGAGCAGGCCCAGAATCACGCACATCTGGGAGGCCCCAGGTTTTGGGGAGGAAATGGAGGCACGGAAAGAGGGCCTGACTTGCCTGAGGTTGCACTCCGAGTTGGATGTGGGGGTGGAGAACACATGTCCGCAACGTGAGCTTTTTCTTTCTTTACCCTCAAGACCAATCCAGGTGGAGGGCAGCCCCTAAGGGGTGGCCCCTAGAGGGTCCAGAGTGGTAACCAAGGCCTTCAGAGCCCTCTGGAAGGGGATTCACATGTGACTCACACCTGTTTTCACACCTTCAGCCTCCCAGGCCCAAACCCGTGTTCAGAATAGCTTAATGCTGCATGTACGCAGGGGGCTCTATAAATACGCTTCCTAGAAAATGACTAATTTCATAATCTGGAAAGCAGAAAGAGTAGCACTTCTCAACTGCAGATGAGAACGAGCCAGAGCCCCATTCTCTGTCCTGTCGGCAAAGGACTCGGGCAACCCAGCGAACCCCAAAGGCTGGGCTGTTCTGGGGAAAGCTTAAATCCAATTTCCAGGGAGAAGAGAGGCCTATCCAGCCTGAATGGAGAGGGAGTCCAGCTGTCTGGGCAGCGCCCTTCTCCCTCCCTCCTAAGGTCAGAAAGAGCTACTTGCCAGGGGCGCACTGTGTCCCTTCTCTCTCCCCCGCTCCACTCATGTCCCCTAGGCAGCCGGCGTTGGGAACTGGCCTGTGACGACAGGCAGCAACTGCTGGACTGCCCACCCACTGTTGCTCTTAGAGCCAGAATACCCCAAAGGTGCAGGGGCTGGGGCATCATCCAGCCCATCTCGCATCCCCCTATGGAAAAGCGAGAGCCCAGAGGGATCCAGGACCTTGCCCACGCCCCATTCTTGCCCAGCCCCGAGCACCTCCTGTGAGGAAGGCAGCAGCCCCGAGCTGTGCCAAGAACAGCGGTAGCAGGCCAGGTTCTCCAGGCACAGCTGGTACTTGCTCTCGCTGGCCTCTCGGTGTGCCACTTGGGTGGCTCAGCTCAGCCTGCCATGAGGAGGCAGGTGGAAGTGTTCTCTAACTGGAAGAAGGAAGGCTGTGGCTATGTGAATGAGGGGTCACAGGAGTGAGAACTTCCCTGGTGGGGCAGGCAGCACAGACCAGGCATGGAGATCAGGGGTGTGTGGGACACTGGCACCAAGGCCAGTCGACTGGCCAGGGGGATGGGGAAGCGGATGGGTCAGCGGAGGCATGTGAGCGAGGGTCAGGTATGGATGCCAGGGAGGGGCAGCCCTCTTCCACCTGGCCGTGAGGTCGCACTGGCCCCCACACCCCTGGCCTGGGCTGGGGCTGGGGAGGTGTGTAAGAGGCTAGCAGGGCCTCTTAGTAGCACATGGCGAAGAATGGACATCCGACCCAGTTGGGACCATCGATCTTATCTCAAAGTACTAGGAAAAATTGGGGGTGTGTGTAAACCATTTCCTGCTTTTAAAGCATCCTACAATTCTGTTGGATTGACTACAGTCCCAATGTTTCACAGCCTTCACCACTCTCTGGTCCCAGATCATTCTCAGCAGCCCAGAGTCCCCACCCTGCCAGCCGACTGTTTGCCGGACCAAACCTGTGCATCCCCACTTCTGGCCCTCTGCTTAGGTAGCTCTCTAAGCTGGGAGTGTCCATCCCCTTTGGCCAGATCTTACTCAATCTTTGAGCCTGGCTCACCCACCACCTCATCAGCCAAGCAGAAGCAAGCTCTCTCATCTCTGGGCTCACGCTTCTTTCTGGCTCCAATGTTAGCTGGTTAGGCACCTGCCTCCCCCACTGGGTTTTGAGAGCATCCTCCCAGCCCCTGCAGCCCCCTCTGAGTGCTCAGCACTGGTCTGGGTCCCTCCGTGGAAATGGAGGGTGGTGGCCCCTGGGAATCAAGGCTGGGGGTTCTGAGGGCTTTGCAGGATAGACTCCAGGTAGGACTTTCCAGGCCTGGGAAGACTGACCTGCAGGGAGGCTCAGAACCTCACTCAGATTCTCATCAGTGTTGATGTTGTCTAGGGTGGACAACACACCAACTCCACAGCGGACCAGTCATCAGGCTGACCACAGTCCACCAATGGGTCATCTATCCCAGTGCATGCACCTGCACAGGGCTTGTCCTTCTCCGTGGCTGACTGCGGGGACCCACAGAGGTGGCATGCTCTGTCACCTAGCTGGCCCATAATCCACACCCAAAGGGTCTGAGACGTGCCCAGGACGTGGCCAAGACAGGAAGGACAGGTTGTCCCCAGTGATCGACAATGTAGCTGGATTACAATGAGCCACGCTTCCCACTGTCATTCCCTGCCCCCCAATATCTTATCATGAGTCATCTTCACATACTGCAGACAAGGTCGCAGCACATGATTTGCTGACGTTATCATTCTCAAAGACAGATAAAGGCTAGCTCTATAAAGACAC